TTTACTTTCACTGTTCCTCAGCGGAGGCTCAGAACATCTCACATCTTCTGAGGAGCCTTTATTTCTTCAGCTCTCAATCAGCATTGCATTGCGTTATATGTTTGGATCATTTCAATCAAGACACATTATTGGAGATATTAGAGCGACGACTGACATTTATATAATTTTATGTCAGTATCTGCTGTACTGTTATAAAGATCTCACTGATTTACATCACAAGCGTCAGAATTTCATACTTTTTGTTCATTAAAATATCAGCATCTGCACCAAATTGCATATTTTTGCTCAGTTCGAGTCTCTGAATAAAATAAAAACCGTTTTTTTCGTACATATTCTCACTACATCAGACTATATGAGCCATAAGAGCCTGATGAATCAAATATGATGCTCAACAAAAACACGCATGCAAACTGTTTTAAACATTTTGTCTAATGACAATTTTATGAGTATTATTTCATATGTCAGGTTTTAAAATGTATATGTGAGCCTGGAGCACAAAAGCAGTCTCAAGTCGCTGGGGTATATTTGTAGCAATAGCCAAAAATACATTGCATGGGTCAAAATTATCGATTTTTCTTTTATGCCAAAAATCAAAGATCATGTTCCATGAAGATATTTTGCAAATTTCCTACAGTAAATATATCAAAACGTCATTTTTGATTAGTAATATGCATTGCTAAGAACTTCATTTGGACAACTTTAAAGGCGATTTTCTCAATATTTCGATTTTTTTGCACCCTCAGATTCCAGATTTTCAAATAGTTGTATCTCGGCCAAATGATATTGTCTTCAGAACTACTTTAACATGCACAAACTGGACCTCGTCCACGTGACAGAATCAGACTTTCCTCCACAGGATCTCACCGGCGTTACATAAGCACAAGAACAACAGCGGACTGCAAACATGCTTCTTACAAAAAGAACTGTGTTTCTCGGATGAATTTGTTCTTTGTAAACAACGGCACATATTGTAATCCGTTCCACATGTTCTGTCACTATAGCAACAGTCGCTCTGATTCATGGCTGACTTATTTTGAACCTGTTCATCATGACAAATGAAACCCCATCACAGGAAACCGACTGAATTATACCAGATCTGTGTCTTTATAATAGACGAGAGGCTAATTTGCAGATTGATTCGGAGAGGAAATCGTTTATCTGCCATTTCAGGCTTTCATCAACACAAATCAAAGCACATGTGACGTGACAGACAGTGTAATGTTCTCAGAGTGTGTTTCTTTAAGACATTATTCAGTATGATTATGAAGTTGCTGTCTGCACTGTAGGCAAAGCCTCCCCAGTATGTGAATACAGTGTGTTTCTGAGGGTACTCGAGTGTTAATTGATGCTCAGACTGGTGAAAATGAAACTGTTAAAACATTAAATTGTTTAAAAGTGACAGTAAAGACATTTATAATGTTACAAAATATTTATATTTCAAATAAATGCTGTTCTTTTGAACTTTCTATTCATCTGTGAATCCTGAAAAATACAATGTATCACAGTTTCCACAAAAATATTGTGCAGCACAACTGTTTTCAACATTGATAATAATCAGACGTGTTTTTGAAGATCATGTAACACTGAAGACTGGAGTAATGATGCTGAAAATACAGCTGCGCATCACAGAAATAAATTAAATACAGGACGAGCGTCTCTTCTCCAGCTTCTGATGTGATGCTCTTCGCTCATGACTCTTCTGGACGGGCCGAGTGTGTGTCTGAGGATGCTGTTGTTGATGTTGTTATTGTGTGATTTGTATTAGTATTCAGGAGCACACATGTACCCATCAACCCCCGGAGAGCAGATCCGCGCATCTCCTGCTCTGATTACCAGCCATTATCACAGAAACACCAGCTCTCGGACGGGAACACATCAGCACACACTCACTAGTGAGACGCGCTGTGTTCTTGTGTTACACATATAGACCCTTTAGCTCTTTTCCCAGAGGTAGGTGTCATATCATGCTGCCTTGTAAGATACATCATCATGGCAGAAGCGCGTGTGTTGAGAAACAAGTTAGAAGCATCTATCTACAGTATATACTGTATGTATACGAAGAAAAATTATTTAATTTATAAATGTTTTTATAATATAATTTGTATATTTATAATTTTTTATAATATATATATAACATTTTATTGTTTTTATACAATTATCCTAATTAAGTAAACCTGTTGCATGCTGCCTTTCCTGCTTTCTTTAGCTGCTGTAGTTGAGTGTGTTTCAGAGAGATGACGAGCTTTGTGTGTGTGTGTGT